TTCATCTTGATTAGCTCTTAACTTCCTCTCTCCCTGTCTTCCTCTCTGACATTGCTGGGGCCTGACACTTAATACTGAGCATCGAGCTCTTTTCTCCTAAGGAGAAAAGAAAAGTGTTTCCTGCACTCCCTGGTGCTACTCTGGGTCATGGAGAGCAGCACTGTGGGGCCAGAGGGACCACCCTTGACCCAGTGGAGTCTCCCATCAAAACCTGGATTAACTTGTTTCAGATCACTTGACATTATAGATCACAGTGATTTTGATCTGTGCTATCCCTTTAACCCTCAGCTCTGATGCTGGCTCCCTTTTTGTTTACTTAGCTTTCATATGAAATTCCAAATCCTCAAAGTCTTGCTTCTTTTCACCCCTTGACTATATATATCCCATTTTCCAGATGAGGAAAGTGAGGCTCAGGATCCTTAAGTAACTGGCTCAAGTTCACATAGCTAGTAAGTGCCTGACCTGTATTTAAACTCTTTCAACCCCTATTCTATGTTTATGTAGTTTTTTGTTTTTTTTTTAAACATTTGTGCACAGAATCTTTTAGGTCAAAATGATTTTCTTTGGAAAGTGAAAGTCTCCAGATCATTGTCTTGATCCCCCTCTTTCCTCAGCCCTAGAAGACCAAAAGTGTCCCAGAGCCTGGCCCTTCTTGGGCTTTTTTTTTCCTTGCACAGTATGGTCCCAGATTAGGCCTGTCCTCTATACCTGGAGGTAGCAGGTTAAAGATGAGCAGTGGGGGTGGGAAGCAGAGAGGGGCTTCCTGCCAGCCAATCAGGAAGCGACCGCCTAGGCTCTGAGTTCCACATCATCTGCTCCTGCTAAGACAATCATCAACATAAAAGGCTAATTGTATTAATCACCAAGGCCCCCCGTCCTGAGTCCCCCTCCTTTTCGGGAGAATTATGAATTGCAATTGCAGATGGCTTCACTGATTGAAGCCAGTGCTCAGCAGGGAGAAGGGTCAGATCAGATTACACACCATTAATTAAAAACTTCCCCTGACAAATGGGAGGAAGGGAATGCACACCAAGGGCCTGCCTGGTTGGGTCTCTGTCCTACCCATCCCCCTTCTGCACACCCTGGCCCAGGGGCTGTAGCTATGAAGCCTGTTTGCCCCAGCTGGAACTACAGAGATTTGGCTCCCCGAAGGCCAGCTCTTCCCTCATCCAAGCAGATGGCCCACTGTCCTATTAAAGGGCTCCAGAGGAGAAGCTAACCTTTGGTTACTTATTTCTGCATCTAACCTTTGCTGCTTTTCAGATTCTAACCCAATTCTTCACTTCTCATGGGACTTATCTCCTCCTACTCTAGTCTATCCTAACAGAGAATAGCTTTAAAGAACTAGTGAAAATAGTCCTCAAGCTTTCTCCTCAGGCAACGACTCTTACTCTTTTGGCCTTTAAGTTCCTGGGACGAGGTTAAGAAGCTCTGGAGTAGTGGGTGGAGACTCAAATGTCAGGTTGTGCACCTTCTTCCAGCCCCTACCTGTAAGCATAGGTTTTTCAGCTGCTGTCATTTTGGCCCATTTGGAGCTGAAACTCCTGAATGTCCCTCCTCTTGGTCAATTACTGCCTCCCCTCCCTACCCAGCTGCTCAGCCTCAGTCGTTCTTCAAACTTTTATATTTTTATTTTTTATTTTATTCTTTTGGCGGCTGGCCAGTACAGGGATCTGAACCCAATGTTATATCAAACTTTCATTGAGCACCCAGTGTGTACTTGACCCTGGGGGTGCAGAGATGATTTGTCGAGGAGCTTAAGAGCCTATTGCAGGAGCTCCACATCCCCACCCCCTTCAACCCTCTAGTTCCTTCCTTCCTTCCTTCTTTCCTGTGGCTGCAGCTTGTGTAAGACTCCCTGGAGCTCTATTTTGGAAAATTCTTTTTTTTTTTTTTTTTTTTTTTTTTTTTT